GAAAACATTAACAGAAATAAAATGTTTACATCCCGTCCATATGTTTCTTATTCATAACATAATAAAAACTAAATCACTCACTGACAGTAATGGCCAATTATCATGTAAAATAATGTCTCACCTTTATATTATTTGCCTTTCATGGTTTTGTTATCCATGATACTTTTGCAAATTTCTTTGGATTTGTCTTTTAATAGAATAGAAAATCCCTTTATTCCCACAGTGGGGAATTTCATGTGTTTACAGCAAAAAGATTATAGGAAAAAAAAGGGTCGCACAAATGTGGACCTCAGAAATAAGAATAACATAATAGTGAAGAGTTAAAAATTTTTTAAAATGTTTTAATCATAGTTTTATTCAGTCATCAAAAAGGTTCTTGTTTTATCACATCTTATAAACACATTGGTTATCTGTATTTTAGTTTATTCAATCAGTATTTAATACATCTGGCTGGATAAATTATTAACAAATAACGATGTACACATTTTTTAAGGTCATTACATTTTAAAAGCAATATTAACTCTTTCAGGATAGAAATATCCACTTAATACAAGAAAAATGTTACAAAAACGCTGCCTCATCAATTAGTCATAGATTGATGAACTTTGCATCCCTAATGCAAAGAAGAGGCTTTGCAGCATTCACTGCAGGACCAGCAGGTTCTGTAACAACTTTTTCCCCCCTGCCATAAGACTGTTGAATACTCTAATCAAGTCACAAATGGAGACTCTGCATCACACTGATAACATCATACTTGCACGGTATGGTGAATCTTTAATATAGATCTCAACTCGGTGTTTCTACTGCATTTTGCACCATTATTAATTTTTTGCACTGCTCTAAACCTTCTACATCAATGCCTTTTGCACCATTTCTCTCCTGCGCTGTTTACATTTTGATCACCGCTTTACTTTATAAATGGAGTTCATTTTCACTGCTAAGCTGCTCATTCACTGTTGGAAAGCTGTATGTAAAGAAATTTTGTTTAGTATACATTCTGTGTATATAAAATTACAATAAATTTTGTCTAAGTCTAATATTGGTGCATCCTTATTACTTATTATTCTTATTATGTATTTGAGCCCGTTTTGCAAAAGTTGGACTAGTTGTTGCTCTGCTACTGAAATTAACCAGTGGTATATTTAGTCAAGGTTATCTTACTATACGAACCTCATGTGCAATGGGCCCCTGTCTCAAGTGGGCCCCTGTCTGAGGGCTGAAATTAACTCCCTGCAGCAGCAGCAGCTTCTTTCTGCTTTGGCCTCTCTAGCTTTGATGTTGGAGATATTTTCGGGGATCTGCTCTGCATAAACCACGTTGAATCCTTCCCAGCGTGCGATTAAATACTCATACTTTGAAATTTTTAGCTGTTTTATTTCTAACGGTGAAACATTATATGACCCTAAATATGACTTGTTACAACAGTGAGATAAGTAACACATCTATGAATATGACTTTCAAGTCAATGTTCTTTATTCAGTGCGGTCAGAAGCATAGATTAGGAGGCTGGCTGATTTGAACTCATCTAAATAGAACAGGAGAGAAAAATGTGACTTTCACTCACTCCTAACTGCCATTTATTTCTGATCAATATCCCGCCTTTTTTCACTTTTTCTCTTAGGTTTTGGTCGAAAAGATGTGGTGGACCACCTGCTTCAGACTGGTGCAAGCGTGCACGCTCGAGATGACGGGGGGCTCATCCCGCTGCACAACGCCTGCTCGTTTGGTCATTCTGAGGTAAGAAAGAAGCATTTAGCGTTTCTGGTGATCAGAGGGACGGGTGATGCTGATGAACCTATTATTGGTGTTTAAAAGTGTCTGTGGCTCTGAAGCCGCCACTGAAAACCCGGGTTTTTCCAAACCGAGTTGACCCGCTAACAATCAGCTTTTGGCTCTTTTTCCATTTGAACGAAAAGCCGAGTTTGACCCCTCGCTGGAAAGCTGCATGGCCACTGTCTACCACCACGCGTCTGATGACAGCATCACTATGGGTGAGCGTTGATGAAGTCGACAGTGTGACGGAACTCAGGGAAGTAAAAAATGGAGAGTAACATGAACGGGAGTCAGAGTGTAGTCGGTATTTTTAATTGTTTCGCTCTTTTATCCGTCCAGTTCTCTCTCACCAGCACTGTATCATGTTTATCAATGTAAACAGTCATTTTGGCTTGTTAGATCAGAAGCGACTGGTGCGGTGTGTTGATATCTGTACTTCGCGTTCAATGGTATCACATAATTTAGCTGCTCAACCCGGTTCTGGTGTTCCAACTGCATGTCAATCAGGGCAGAGGTGATTTTAACATGGGTCACTTGTCGAGTTGTTTGACCCGGGTAGACGCGTGTCATTGAGCTGTTCCCACTGCCACTAAAAGCGGAATATTCCCAGGTTAAAACAGGATTTTTGGCCAGTGGAAAATGGGTTTAAGAGTGGTTTGTTGATTTGCCAGAAGCGCTGTGATTAAAGGTGTCATCAACTCCGCTCCAATAAAACCCTATAAAATGTTTGCTTAGCGTTTTTCGTTTTCTTTTTTAATCAAGCTTTTTTGTTGTATATTAAGTATGCACTATTATTCAGTAATTTTTTCTATATAACATAATTTACGGAAATTATTTTATGGAAAAATATGTTTTATGAGCCTAAATAATAGGCTTTGATCAAAGAATAAAATCTTATTTAGTTTTCCTTACTATATCTAGGGCAAGTGTTGCTTCTTCATCTGCCGGGGGCCTGCAGGGTGATTCGGGTGCCACCCACACCTGCTATTGAGCATATTTTCCTTTTTAAAGAAGCTTTGTATATTCTTTATACACAAGCATGCCCATTCATACATGCTCGGAAGTTTAGTTCCAGGTTTTCAAGGATACACTTATACTAAATACTTGGCAACAGATATATACCACCTGAATAATGTTGTGTAAACAATATAGCTTTTGCCTTCGAGACACATGTATATCTAAGGGATACTGCTGCTCTTGAAGCCTTTTTATGTTTTCTTTGCTCATCTGTTGTCTTCTTTTTGCTGTTATGTTCTCTGTTTTTTTTCCTTTCCCTCCAGTATCACACAGGTGTGGAAGCAGACTTCTAGGAGTTGCTCTATATCTTATTTATTGTCTATTTTTCCTTTTTTGTTTTATTTTCTCTCTTTTCATGAGCCCTTTTCTCCCTCTCTCTCTCTCTCTCTCTATCTCTTTCTCTCTCTCTCTCTGTGTCCCCTTAGTTCTTATCTTTTTTCTCACTTCCCTTTCCATCTCCATGTTGGTTTTATACAATTTTAATGCTTAAATCATTTTCAATAAAGTTTCATACACAAAGTACCAAGCAGAACCTTATAGCATCAACCATAATGGTCTGTTTGTGAAAGCAAATGTGTTGTGCTATCAGCTAGCTCTGGGACATCCATTCCCAGAACTATATTGGCAAAACGGGACATGGAAAAAAGAAAAATCCTAAATATTTTCTAATGAAATATGAACTATTGCATCAATACCTAAGTAAGACTAAGAAAAATGTAGATTTAAATCTGAAAACAGCAAACCAGTCACTATATAAAAAAAATGTTTTTTTTGTGAATTCTTCTTTGGATTTATAGAATAAACAGCTACTAAATTACATAGTTTTATTTTCTCCCTGCTTTGAAATCAGTGCATTAAAGAACAAGGTGAAAATATTTTTTTTCAGTTCAATAATGTGATCTAAGTGATAAAGTTTTTTTGATTGCTGATTATTTTCTTCTGTTTTGGAACAAACAACTTAGTTTTAGTTTGTAATGACTATAACAGCTTCTTGACACCCAAACACTACTCGTATAATTAGTCACAATTCATTATCATTAAATAGATTTTTGCAATATTGACATTACCTAAAGTTATATTATTAAAACTTTATGTTTTTTCCTAGTAGGAACCTTTTGATAATTTAAGATACCTTGATCTGTTAACTTATAAAACCAAAATGAGTTAAAAAAAAAAAACAAAAAGAAAAGAAAAGAAAAAAACAGCATTGATGGGTTGATTTTCTTATGTAATTTTTTTTTCCTTTTAGTCTAAATCAGATTTTTGTTTCAGGTGGTGTCCTTGCTCCTGTGTCAAGGCGCTGACCCCAACGCAAGAGACAACTGGAACTACACGCCGCTACACGAAGCTGCCATCAAGGGCAAGATCGACGTCTGCATAGGTAAGCCCACGGTAACATGGACTTTTAATTTATGTTACGAAATCCATTTGTAGCTTTTGACAAAAGGGGAGGATTGTGTGAAGGAGCAAAAACAGAAGAACTGATGCTGCTTTGTTCATTTGGGCCTGATGAAAGTAATTGGCTTCTCTGTGTTTTCTACACATCATTCATTTCTTCTGTGAATGTTTGATTATTTGTTGTTAGATCCGTTTCGGCATTAAGACAAAGGCATGCAACCTTGAGTCTTGTGGCGTCACAGATTGGTTTTTCGAAGACGTAATGAGCCACCCACAGGCTGGATGCGTTCATTTCCCATCTACAATAAAGCATCAAATATCCTATAAACTCCAATTACTGCATCAGTGTTTAACACTCGTGCTGGAGAGAAGAGACCATTGATTTCTTTTGGATCTCAGTTGATTTTCACATTAGTATTGCAGAGAGTGCTTGGAAAAACATCAGAGGTGTTTGGTTGCTTGAATCCACAGCAGCCTCGACCTTTGTTCGGACGTCCATCAGTCAGCCGTAAACCCAAACTGCTACGCTAGGCTAGGACATGCTGACTGACAAGTAGAGCGTTTTCTAAACAAATCTGAAAAAAATATACAGGAAGAAAACTGCCTCCTCATCATTGACGGCTTCATTCTTTTCATGTTTCCACCCGCAATGTTTTCAGTTAGCGGAGGGAATCTTTGGTAAAACTGACAGACCATCAGTAACAAAGGTGTCCATCAATAGAGGAAGACTTTCACATGCTTTGAAAATCAGTCAAAACCATCTGAACGAGGAAGAGCTGGGCTCCTACTGACTGGAATAATCTGGACATTGATTGAAGTATTTTCCTGATCTGAATAATTGTGAGAAAAAAACAACAAAAAATATTTGTTTTAAAAACATAATTCTTTATTTTATGTATAAAATCTGCATCCGTCCGTCATAACAGTTTTACCTCATTGGCAAACGTCTTTTCACTACAGTGCCCTACTGCCTAAATCGTTTTATATACATGCATAGAATACAGTAGCATCTTAAAATAGATTGGCTGGGTTAGACAAAGTTTTCTAGTCCTTCCTCTTTCTACATGAGATAAAAATCTGTAAAATTGAGGAGTATCCAAACCAGAGCTTCTTAAATGTTGAAATGTTTTGATTTAATGCCCAAAACACTGTTTATAAATTATAGTTTAAAGTTTTTTTTTGTCACTATTTGTGCATTATTGCTTAAATGTCCCTCAGAAGAGGAGCAGCATCATACGTCTCAGCCCTTTGGACACTTTCCAGTTTGGTAATTAAGCGTCCTTCAAACTGCTAATTAGGGCTGGGTATTTTCGGCAAAGTCCTGAATCGATTCGATTTTGATTCATACAGTTCTAAATCAATTAATTTCTATTCGATTCTGTTTTTACAATAATGAAAGTGTATTAGGCTTATACCATATTTATCTTAAATATTGGGAACTCTTTTCTAATTCTAATAAAAGTGAACAACCTCATTGAAAACCCTTCCATTAGGGATCTTTATTGCTTTATTCTTTAACTTTTTATTTTTTTATATCTGGCTTTGCATAATCTCTGAATTACAAAATCTGGAGTTATCAACCAGGCTTTGATTTGATCTTTTCTGCTTTTAATACTTTGGGCCTTTTTAATGTCCTAAGAAAAAGTTTGTTTAGAGAAGCTTTCGGTTTTCAAGATTTGGAAAAGTTTTCCAGAATCTGAGTTTTTACCGATGTCTTAAATATGAATCATCTCCCCAGTTTAGCATATTTTATGACTATTATACTTCCAGCTGCTCTTAAGCTACTAGACATCATCTAAACGTTCACACCCCTTTAAACCTTTTCACATTTTCCCTCAACTGTATTTGCTCTTTAATATATCTGTATTCTTTTCTTTTTTGTCATACACCAACACAGGCTAATATAAAAAAGTGAAATGAAAAAAATTAATATTACCTGTTCCCTTCCTAAATAACTTTAATGGAAGAGGGAAAGAAAGGAGGAAGGAAGCCTTTAGATGTTCAGACATGCAAAAGTAGGTCTGAAATTTAACTAGCAAAGACCTCAGTGTGTTAAAGCTAAACGCTGGACATTTATCTGAGAATGCCAATGCTACAGTGATAAACGGCGGAGGGTGTGTCATGCTGTGGGGCTGCTTTTCTTCGAAAATGACAAAGTGAAAAGTCAGAGTAGAGAGGAATATGAACTGAGCTTGTTTAAAAGCAGGAAATCCTGCAAGAAAAACACGTTAGAGGCTGCAGAATATTCGTGCCTGGGGCGGAGGTTTACTTTCCAGAGGGAAAACTCTAAACTCTGGGACATAATGAAAAGGTTTAAATCAAAGCAGAATTGCCAACACAAAGCCCAGATCTAAATCAAATGGAGAACCTGTGGCAAGATATGAATAATTGATGTTCATAAACTCAAGGTTTGTGGTTGAAGCTGCAGAAAATGTAAAAAGCGTTATGCATGCGCATTAGGAGTACAATTTAGTTTAACTGGATTAGAGAGCATCAAGTTCTTCCACTTGAAAATGATTCAATCTTCCAGAATGCTCGACCCAGCAGGTGCTAAAAGCAAACATTTTCAGGTCACATGGGGGAACAAATTCTGGCACTTTCTAGACTTTCTCACCAATCTGACACATAGATCTCCATGAACTTTTCCTCTTCCTATTCCTCTGCTGGATTTTATCTTCCTCGACTGCAGTACCAATGGGTGAGGGTGGAATCACTGCAATACCATGGAGTAATGAGGCAATGGTATGCTGATGATGGATATAAGATTTCTTTTAAATTTCTCCCTTTAAAATGTTCACATATCCTTTATCATTCAGCTAAAACAACGACAATCTCTAAAGGTGTGTTAACATTGAATGCACTGTAAGCCTTAGGGTTTACTCTTCACACGAAAAGGCTACGGTGGTCGAGAGCGAAGGGGCGTTAAGAAGTGCTATGGCATGCTTTGACCGTGTGCTGCAACGCGTCCAAAGCTCAAAAAGCCAAAGTCCTAAACTCTTGCAGCTTGATGCTGCATGTCAACCAATCAGAGAAGCTGATCAGGAAGTTGCAGGGAGATTATCACTGGATCCATGCTGGGATCGCTCCACCTGCAAAGGTGTCAGCATAAAGCCACAAAAGAGTAATCTATAATATATACAATAACTAAATGTATCTAAACTTGCTGGTGTAAAATGCAGTTTTTACCATATCCCTAAAAAATAAGTATATAATTTTACTTTCAGCCGCTACGAATAGGCACCCTGGTCAGTTATAGGGAGCTATCTGCTACCATCCGCCTGTATGCAGGAAGAGTTGCAACAGAATATTTAAGTAGGATCGTAATCTTGAAGAACTTATTGCACGAATTATGTTTTGATGTATACGGCCTCGCTTAAAAAGGCCTTAAAGCTAACTTTTTCCCACCCGTCAAAGTAAATACCTCCATCTCACTGTTTTGATTCATCTGCCAGACGAGACCTGTAAAGGGAAAGAGAAGAGAAGCTCCCCCCAACATGCTTCAGACAAGTGTCCATGTCACTCACAACGGAGACGTTTTGCCACGTTATCATGGGGCGAGGAAAGGCTTCCTGTCTGTGGTGTTGTTCATAAACACTGTAACAGCGTATACCAGAATCACTCTTAGCTTATAAAATTTTAACGCAATATTGAATCCTATACGACTAACAATTTTGAAGATCGGTATATATATATATATATATATATATATATATATATATATATATATATATTAGTGCTGTCAATCGATTAAATTTTTT